CCTAACCAATATAAAATTTATTATTCTGTTAATTTTCTTACATGTGCGAATACTGGAATAAAAACAATGAAATTATATATGCATATATATTTAATGTAGCTTCTTTAATATCTCATTTATATTTTGGGAGTGGGGTTGGGGGGAAGGGGGGAGGATAGGCACTTGTTGGCTGATGTGGAACCACAGTATGTAACATTCAGCATTTGATATTGGCCATAATATTAAGTGCCTTGCAAACTGGTACGGGCAATCATGCTTCTTGACATTTTGTGATCTCCAACAGAATATATCATTTTACTTGCTGACAAATAAATCTTTCTAGCTGTCATAACATATTCCAATTTTTTACTTGTAATAATATCCCAAAACATTATGACTGCCACTCTGTCATGTGGATCTTAGCCTCAGTCTCTTTCAAAATTTCTTCTCTTTACTAACTTTCCAGGTTCACAGCAATATTTTAAAACTGGTTCTAAGCATTAAAAATAATTTCTCTTCTAACCTCCAATGTAAAATTAAATTTTTAGAGAATTTACTTCAGTTAGTTGGCTGCCTTCCCATATGGCTCAGTTTCTCATCTCTCTCAGGAAAATGGCTACTCAACAGGCAAGAGTGTCACACAAAGCACAAACTCTATAGCTCTGGGGAGTATCCCCAGTGATTGTAAAAAAATGATGTGACCATGAAATGAACCAATGACTTTCACAGCACAAGGCAAACGGCTTGACCACTTCACTACAGAGGCCCCTAACCTAAAATGACAGGGATTAACTGCATAAGATCATTTTATAAAGTGCATTTTGCATGCCCTTTTTTTAATTAAAATTCTGTTGTAATTCTTCCATAATATATAGGCAAAAGAATGTGATGTGGCATGTTATTGCTTAGGATCTTATAAAAATTTAACTGGATGCTGCCATTAGCATAATGTGTTTATGTTTATAAATGTAAATTTTGACTCAGGATGCAAAAACTATAGCTACACTAACAATCATATGAAAATGATTTGGAAAAAATGGAGTAGATGGGGTCCATAATTCACATCATCATCATGTGCCTTACCGACTGGCGTGGGCAATTATCCACAATCTGCAATCTCTTGCAGCACGTATCAGTTCGTGTGCTGACACACCTCCATGCCATGCAATAAGACTGTCAAGAATCTTCTCTCATTGTCTCTCCCTATCCCTCCTTCCACAGATCTTTCCAGTGGTCACAACATGTTCTATTTTCCCTCTTCTCATAACATGGCCGTAAAATGATGACTGTCTCTTTCTGATGTCTGTGATAAGCTGTCTTTGGGTTCCCGCCTCTTTCAAAACCTCTAGGTTGCTCTTTTTTGGCTGTCCAAAGTATTTTAAGCATTTTTCTGTAAAATCATATCTCTGAGACCTCAAGAAATTGTTTGGCCTGCCTACCGATTGTCCAGGATTCATAGCCATTTGTTAAAACTGAATGCATGTAGCAAGCAAAATTCTTGTTCTAACTCTTAATGACAAAGATATATTGTACAAGATGTTCATTTTATAAAATGTAGTTTTTGCCTGTCTTATTCTGTTTCTTACCTCAGTAATGCATCTTCCATCTGATGTTATTCACACTGACACTTTTCTTTGACCCAAGGCATGTTGGCATAATGACAAATACAATAACTGATATGCTGACTGGTTCTGTCACTATATAAAAAGACCAACTACGGCATCAGGCTGACACTATGAACCACTTTGGAAATAAACGGTAAATTTCAAGTGCTTCATGAAGTCACAATGACAGCTGGAATGCACAAGTTTGGACTGAATATGAGTGGCCAGAAAACCGCGGCACAAGAAGTGCATGTATAAACTCATCAATCATTAAACTGACACAGTTAATCCCTAATGGATTTATTACCAGGAGTTTGAGATCACCTATGTAGTGCAATGAACATTTCAGTTAGAAGTTTATAACATGATAACTAGAATCAGAAAAGATTCACTTGCAGCTAGATATTGTTTTTTAAACATCTTTGTTAACATAGGCTACCTATTCATACAGTGTTGTATCTTTTAAGAATATGGAGCAGACACACACACAAAACAAGGCATTTATAGATGGATAGGCAGTTGTAAGAAGATGAATAACTTTGTTTCATTGATGACTAGAACTGCACATTCAGATCCTGTGGCTTTCCAGGCTTTAAAACAAAGGTTCAAGTAAAGGACCTTTTTCACGCCTTTAGGTATATTGGACATATAGGGCTAGACCTTTTTTTTTATAATCAATTTTATGGAATATAGCTTTTTTCAGTTGGGGGGAGGGGGAGGGGAGGGAGGGAGGGAGAGAGGGAGGAAGGGAGGGAGAAAGGAAGAAAAAAAGAAAGAAAGAAAAAAGAGAGAGAGAGAGAGAGAGGGAGAGTGAAAGAGAGAGAGAGAATCTTTAGAGCAATATATAGCCAGTTCTGATGTATGGAAGTGAATTATAGTTAATCATCAGATTATTGAGAAATTATGTGGAAGGTAGACTTGTTATTTTATAGAGTGAAAAGAATAACATCATGCACAGCTAAATTGGTGTTCTGACGATACATTTTAAGAATTTATCTCACAAAGAATCAAAATGATGTGGTCATCTGGTCAGAATGGAACAAAATCAGCCAGAGAGTAGTACACGAGAACAGCAGGCTACAAGTCAAGAGACCGACCAAGAAAGAGATGGCTGGAGGGTGTAAAAGAAACAGTACAGAAACGTAATATGACGTTAACACAAGTTACAGACTGGCAAAAGAGAAAACTACACCGAACTCCTCCCTGGGACACTTAACGACATAATCAGTTGGATAAAAGAAAAAGAAAATCTCACAAAGAGAAAAGGATAAACATTCTTTGAGCACATCATGACAATTTGACTATTGGTGTACATCATAACATGAAAGTTGATGTGAAGAGAGGCAGGGCAAGAACAATGAAGACAGAGTTTGACACCATGATTAGAGGAACACCTATATAAAAAAATAATTGACACCCCATGAGACAGAAGGTTGGGGACTATGACCAATGCCACACATGTGGACCATAAGAAGGCGATGTTGTATTTGAGAATGTTTAGTAAGTTTAGTAATTATGCTTTAAATTTTAACATAATCATCATAAGGAAGGTAAGCAATGTTAAACTGGCTGATTAAAAAAAAATTATTTCAGTAATGTTTGGCATAAGCACTACGCCAACAGCGATGTAACATGTAATTTTCTGGTTGGGGGTATAAGAGGATTGAATAGGTAGCCTATGGTAACAAAGATGTTTCAAAAACAATCTGTAGCTGCAAGCGAAACTTTTCTGATGCTAGTTATCATGTTGATGAAGGAGATTTTAACAAGGTCATGTAGCTGCTCAGTGAACTGTATTGCATTCATTTTTCATCACTAACTTTCCAGTGTTCGCATCTGTGGCTTAGTCGTTGCGAACACACTTCGTAATGCCTGGGTGCTGGGTTTGATCCCAGCTGCAAGCCTTGCTCTGGTTTCAACAATGGTGTCGAGAAGCGGACCGTCCAGAAAGCTATGGCAAACTACTGGACGTAAACCTGCCTAGAAAAACCACAATAGCCTAAAAATGCTGGTGTTGGTTCGGTCCAGGATACGCAACTAACTTTTCTTTAACTTTCCAATGCCCTCATTTACTGTCCTGTGTAATTTATTTTAGCCACTGTGAACAGTACATGTTCTTTATTCTCTTCAACATCATCACTGTCCTTTTATACTGATATCTAATACTATTTACTACACCATAAGACCTGACAAATATAAAGGTAAGACTCAAATTATCCATACTCTGGCTGTGGAAATGTAACTGACTTTTAGACAAGACAATCCAGCTGTTTGAGTTTAATTTAACATGCAAGAAATATAAAATTATAAGAGGGGTGTGTGTGTGTGTGTGTGTGTGTGTGTGTGTGAGAGAGAGAGTGTGTGTGTGTGTGTGTGTGTGATATATATATATATATATATATATATATATATATATATATATATATATATATATATATATATATATATATATATATATATATATATATATATATATATATATATAGAGAGAGAGAGAGAGAGAGAGAGAGAATGTGTGTAACTAGGCAAAACTAGGATTACTCGACAATTTCAAGAGATGCAACACTGCAGATGATAGCACCAGACGAAAATAGTCATCGTTGACCTCACACTTTTTAGCATGCGCAAAACGCGGTTAAACTCACCGCCGACAGTATCTCCTGCGCTGCTATGCGCATCACGGATGGGATCTAAACTAGAGGCCTGAGACTCACAAGCAAATAAATTAGAGGAAGTTGCAGGAGATGCGGTAGCTGCTGCTCGTGAGTCCCAGCCATCTAGTTTAGCCCCCCATGGTGCGCCGCACTTTGCGGTGTGGGGGATACTGTCAGCGGTGCGGCATAGTCGCAGAAACAGGTCTGCAATTAATATATTTATATTGCTGAGACCCTGCATTTGTTTCGTTATTCGGAGCCGATACTAGTTTTGCAGCGATTTGTTCCTTGGCAGAAAGTCCACATTTTACACACAACTGATGCCCTGTTAGGCTATTTGCTTGGCAGCCATAATATCGAGTAGAAGTTCGGAGGAGAGCCAAGAAAAGCAACATCATGTTAAACATGCATGATGGTCACTGGTGCGGAAAACGAAAACAGTAATTTAATTAAAAGTCAGTCACCATATAAAAATTGAACTACTAGTCTCAGAGTTTCAAGCCCGACTCAAAACTGTAGGCTTCATAAATTATTACGATTTTAAATTAAAATGCCTAGTAGCAGCACTGGCACTAGAATACCTACTGAAAAGTTCCCAGCTACAAACTTCTATGTGACTCTGAGCGGTATGTAGACCAAAGTCTGAAGACGACGAGATGATAATATAATATTAAATGAAATTTAGTTAGTTAAGTTTAGCTTGTAGCAACAGAACAGAAACTGTCACTTTCCGACTGCAGCTAAATTTTTAAAAGTATCAAACCTGGTGATTCCATCCGAAATTATAGACAATAACACCAAAAAGCCAGACGCTCGCTAGAAGAACTAGCAGCCGAAATTTTCGTCGCACCATCCACAACAGGTTACAGACGTGACTAGCCGCTACTGTCTTCTACTTCTACAGTCTACATGGTGGAGTTAAGTGGAGGAGCTGTAGTCAGGGCTGCCAATGAGATTGTTGTCAAAACCCAGATGGGGCTGACGAAAACCCAAGATATGAACACACAAAAAACCCAGCACTATGCAAAAAGTATTTTATAGTTATGAAACCTAACATATACTCACCTTTATTAAACTTTTACTCTAACAGCTCTCCTTCTTCACCAATTTCAGTTGTCACCGTCTCTTTCTGTGTTTTCATTCTGTTTAAATATCTTTGACTAACTGCGCCACTTTGCTATTCTTTTTGCAATTCTTTATTAGGTGTCCATGTCGTGCAGTCGTTATTTCCTTTTGTGATTGCCTGCCTTGCAAGAATTCGGTCTTTTACGGTGTCAGCTTTCAGAGAATTAGTTTGTTTAGTTTTGACACAGATCATCAGGTAAAATATGCGTTCAACCGCTGCTGACGAGTGAGGCAAAATAGTGAGATTGGTCATAAAAGCGGATAAAAATGTCATATTTTACATTTTAAGCCATCTTTTATGCTTCTCAATTGGTACCAATACTGCCATTCCTCTTTGAAACACTGAGCATACCATTTTCTTTTCTTCGATGGTGTAATCTGTTCACTCATTTTGAATTCAACAAGGTTATAATCAGAGTAAATTTTGATAGCACAGTTCAACAAACCACAACACAGCAAAAAAAAAAAAACTAGTGAAAACTTAACTGAAGGTCCCTCCCTAGTAGTCCTTAGTTGGTTTCTGCTAATCTGCTTTCTTTCAATTCAACCAATGAGACGCTACAATGTCAGGTCAATAACCCCTAGAAGAGAGGAAAAGCCTCCCAAACTTTCTTCAATAATTAAATGTCAGGTCCCATCTTTCTTCTGTAAAGTTTACGATCAAAAGTCCCAGGCTTCATCTATTTTGCTTCTCCGCCCCTAGTATCTGTTACTTAAGGGACACTACTTGGGGATCGTAAATCTGGTCCTTTGGTGGTCTGCTACATTTTTACTGAATAGCCCTGTAGTTAACCTTTGTATTCTGTTAAATTAATTACACTGAGTTTATTTTAAGTGTTTGTAGGACATTCCAAAATATAATTTGGGGGTAAAACTATTATAGATATGTGTACACACATTATTCTTGTTAGAATATTTATTAATTGTAGTTTTTTTCATCATTAAGACTGAAAACCCAAGATTTTCAATAATTTTCAAAATAAAAACCAAGAAACCAAGACGGCAACTAAAAAAAAAACAAGATCTTGGGGGAAAAAAACCAGCATTGGCATCCCTGGCTGAAGTAAAGGTTCCATGGAGCAATTGAGCCAACCAATAGACGATCACAGTTTCCTTCAGTGCGGATTTGGTAAACACAACTTTCGCTTTCTATTATCAAGTAGTTGCTGTTTCTGTAACAAATGTGGGCAGCAATTTCTCCAGTAGGTCTTCTGTTCTGTTTGTACAGACTACTATTCGTCCATCCCTTGACGTTTCCCCACTTGTAACGCTGCTCACTTCTAGCTCGCCTGTCTTCAGCTGTTCTTTCTAGTGCTGATAAAGTGGTGTCAAAATAAGTAAAAGTACCTTTTTCCACGCCCTTAGGCGTATTGGGAATTTATGGCTAGACCTATATTATTATAGACCAATCGGCACTTGGTGGGTGATGTAGTCAGCATCACGTCAGCCGCCTTTACTTCCCAGGACTGCGCCTGGTACCCACTCAAGGCTGGGTCGCCCTGGGAGTCAAGGTCATTTTTTTTTTTGTCCGGCTCCGTCAGGACGAGAACCCACGACCTTCCGATCCGTAGGCGGGCATAAAAAAAGTTTCTCTTTATCTATTTTGACATCCAAGCGGCGTCCGTGGCTAAGGCGTTGCGAGTCCGACTCGTAATCCAACGTACCGCGATCGAAACCCACTGCTGGCTGCGTGGATTTTTATCGTGGTATGGGACGTCGCAGGTCGACCCAGCCTCAAATGGGTACCAGGATGGGCTGTCCTGGGAAAGTAAAGACAGTCGGCGCCATTACCCACCGAGTGCTGATGAAATGTAAAAATATGGGCGCTCTTCCCCGATACTAAAGGTATGGATGCCCGATACTAAAGGTATGGAAAGGGATCTTTACTTACTTTATTTTATTTTGACATCCTAACACATGGGTTCGACCCAGTCGTGCTTCCTTCTCCAATGCAGCAGCTATCTCAGTGTCTCCATGCTCAACTACCAAACAAACATTGATCAGTATATTTTCTTTCTTTGCAGCCTGTTCTAAATGTCTTCGTATAATACACATTTCCAACAGTCGGTTTATCGTCGCTGACTCATTTGCCACAACGTATCTGTAACGAAGCAGATTCAGTATGAATACTCTGTCCACACTTCTTCCTCTACAAACCACTGCAGACACAGCCAGTCAGTCGGCTCTTTCATTTCGTTTCCCCGGTGTCTGCAGCCAAGATAGATTCTTGAGGCCGACTTCTGGATGCTGTCAACCTATTCTAGTCAGTTTTCTAGTTTGGATCTTCTCAAGCATGCTCACTTAGTCTGTCACGCTCAATTAGTCTGTCACTCTCAATTCAGGAGTTGCTTTCTCTTCCATCAGCCATGCAAGTGCACATGTAACAGCTTCTATCTCCATCTTCATAGTAGAAATTGTTGAACTGAATGTCCGCCTTTACTGTCCTCTCATCTCCTACACTGTAAATGCCCACCCAGACGGCGCCCCACGAATCACGAAGACATCAGTATAGACGACAACATCACCTGTTAGAGTCTGCTCATGGACGAAGGCTCTTTTTAAGGTTAAGCGGCTGTTTGGCTCCATTCTCTGCAATACCTGTCTATGTTATTACAACTTCAATGCGCTCCTGCATATTTTCTAGTGCTTCTGTCCATTCAGTGCCGATCCTGACATGTTGCTAGTTCTGCAATTTTTGTCCTTTTTGACTACTTAACACTCACTGTGATTGCCCGAACAGTATCTACACTGTTGTTCTTTTCTACACGATAAAGCAGTATGAAGGGAAAATTAGCGATTTGAGCACTAAAAAAAAAGGGGGGAGGGGTGGGGGTGTACTTCTCTGTCCTCACTTCCTTATTTTGCCACATCAGGAAAGATGGATATGTTTGCCCTTCCACAGCCACCACTGATGATTCTTGTTTCCTGACTATACTAATTGAGATTATTCTTACAACTTTACTGATACTGAGTCTCTACCATTTGTGTGTTATCGTCACTTTCTTTTTCAACTTCGCTAGCTGCTTCTTGCAGTTATGCTGGTCTGTACCTAGGTCACTATCACGTGGAAAATCCTGTGTAGCTCTGGTTGCCACCTCATCATCCATTACAATGAAACCATCAAAATCTGTTGCTTCAAATTCTGTCACCGGCAATGGAATGTCTTATAGGGCTCAGCTGTCGTGCTTTTGGGTTGAGACACATCCAGTTTCTCGAAATATTTCTATACATTTTCGGTTGGATTTTATTCCAAGCAGAACTAGTCCACGAGACAGCATCCAAAGCTTTAACAGAGGCTGTGGATAACATTGCTTCCACAGGCGCAGGGATGTAGCTAGGGTATTTGGCGTCCGTGGCAACCGAGCGTAGTTGGTGCCCATGACGGTGGTGGTGGTGGGGGGAGAGGGTGGTTCATTAATTTTGAAACATTTGCAAGGAATCTAAACTTTTAGCATACATATCGGTTTTGGATGCATCATAGCACACGATTATAACATATCTGTACTTACAACAGACGTTCATCTATAGTTTTACTTCTCAGTGGCTGGATTGGCTGGATTGGCTTTTTACCCCACCAGGACATCACACAAGCGATAAACACCCGATGACACAAAGTGCCACCATGCGGATGAGGATCATCGTGGAGAGGTCCCAGAAACCGCGTTCAGACATTTGGCCATATGTATGACCTGCCTATATTGCGGCCCCTGGCAAAAGCCAGAGTGGGGCTTCAAAAAACAAAAAATAACGTCCTAAGAAGGACGTAAGAAATAATTTATTAGGTTATGTTACTTCTCAGTACATTAACCGATTTATTTGTTAAACAAAACAAGGTGAAATATTTAGTGTCACAAGTTCCTATTAGTAATAAAATATTATTATTATTATTATTCAAATTTATGTTTTTAGTGATCTACACTTCTCGTTTCTCAGCGAAATGTTCTAGTAGAGCAGCATCATGAAGATTTATGTTAGGATCCTGTAGCCACTTTTGAACACGGTCAATGCAAATTAGTATTTTCTCCAAAAATCCTAGCAATGTCAGAAAATCAAAACTCAGCATGAGATTTTACATCTGCGTTGCCTAACATTTCATTTCACTCATCTCATTTGTTTTGACAACTGTCCTTGTAATCTAGTTTCAGACTCTGACTTTATCACTAATGGGATGGCATTGTAAAGTGTCCACCACCCCCCCCCCCCCCATCCCAACGCTGTATTGATCCAAAAAACGTCACCATCATCGGATCCTGGTTAACTGCATGTACACCTACCAATACAACTATAAACCTCTTTTACCTACATTTAAAAAAACGGGAATTGCAATGAAATGGACATGTAATAAGACCAAACGCCTTTCAAAAACAGTACTGCAGTGCTCAGTATAAGGAAAGAGGAGAAGAGGCAGACCCAGAAAGACCTGTTTACAGAACCTAAATGACTGGACAAACCTCAGGCATATAATAATTAAGTCCATTGCAACTGACCATTCTAAGCTTAGTGGCTTTAGAATCATCACCTTACAAAACACATTTGGGAAGGTCTTGGAGAAGATAGTAGCTGTAAAGTTACAAGGATTTTTGGAAAGGGGGAAGCTTCTCCCAAGAGGTCTGGGAAGTTACAGGCCAGGAAAGGACACTTGGGCAAATGCGGCCACTTTTGCTTTTGACGTCTATGAAGGGTTCCAGAACAGACAGGAAACTATGGCGGTAGGACTGGATCTCGAGG